AATAAGTTATTTTCTAATAACTCATGCTTGCAAGCCTTTAGCGTATTAAATCTGTCTAAAATTGTTTCTAATTTATTTTCAAATATTTTTACCTTTTTTAAGTTCTCTTTTATTGAAGCAAAAAAATCTTCGAATAAACTCTCTTTGTCTAAATTGTTGAAATTATCTTTAAAATTGTTATCAGTATCATTAGTAAATAAAGAGATTATTCCTCCTGATAGAACAATTGGTCTAAATTGGGAATCGATGCTTCTCAACATATTATTAACTTCATTTGATACCTTATCAACTTCATTGACCATGTTTTTGTAATCATTGCTTTTTTTGGCAAATATATTTAAATAATCTTCTTCATTTAAAAATGTTTTGACATCTAAAACCGGATCTATATCAATAGCAAAGGAGACATTATCCTTATATTCAGCAGAAAAAGTCGATATTTTCTTAATACCATTTCTTCGGTCATCGGTTGCGGCTAATCCTATTAATTTTAGGTCTTTAATTTTTGCTAAAATTTCTTCTAATTCATGCTTTTTGTAATATTTTAGCAAATGATTGCGATCAAAACAATTCAGATAATGAATAATTCCATCTACACAATACTTGATAGGAACTGGTTCAGATAAAATTTTGCTTTTATGAAAATTTATGCTGGGCTTTACCTCCCCTAAAATTAGTAAATTATTTTCTGCATTATAGTATATTAAGTCAGGCTTGCCAATTTCTCCATTATTTTTCTTACTTGCTACATTTAGAACTTTTTGGATTTGCTCCCGCTCGTTTAGTTCTTCTGTTCTTCATTTGTTCTTAAAAACATGTTTGTTCTGTAATTCTCCTATTAAATCAATTATGATGTTTTGTTCGCTACTTTTACTCATATTTTTTAAATTTTCCTTACTATAAATTTCAGGAGTTTTTTAGATTCTTTCACCTCCGACTTGAATTCTATCTCATTCCGCGATTTCTTTTCCCCCTTTCTCGTCCACATCGGCTAACTAATTAACCCTTTTTTATTGTTCCACCTCTAATATTTTGGCTACTGCTTGCTCGGTTAGTTGCTTATCATGGAGACGCTTTTGAAGTTCCTGTAAAAATTCTTGTTTATTGATTTGTCGTAATTCAGTCATACCTCAAAATATTTTTAATATCCTTTAATTGTATTTTACAAAAAACAGCAGTAATTTATCTGGTAAAGACTCTGGTTTTTTAAAATTTTTTGCTAAGATTTGAACTAGTTTTTTTAGGATAAAAAGATAATGGTTATAATTTAGTTTTTACTTTTTCGGGGAAAAAATTAATCAACATTCCTAACTTTCGCATTACTTCCACAATTTTTTCCGAGGTTAATGCTCCAATTTTTCCCTCTAATCTTTGCTTATCGATATAGTGGTATATTAGCTATCTAAACTAATTATAAGATAGTTAAAATATAACATTATGACTGAACTAATAATAATAAAAACTAACAAGGGCGAAAAACTACGAAGTTTTTTAAATAAAGAGCAAATAAATTATCAGGTTTTTTCTGAGCAAGATCAAGGGGAATTTTCCCAAGAGGATAAACTACTCCAAGAATACCAAGAAGCCTGACAAGACCCTCGTCGATTATCCGAAGCGAAGCAGTGAGAACGGGCTGGCATGAATGATTGAGCCGAACGAGCCAAAAAAGATAAAAAATAAATGGCAGAAAGGTTATTTAGGAGAGGAGAAATTTACTGAATTAATTTGCCTGACAAAGGTGGACATGAATTAAAAGACTTGCGCATGGGAGTAGTGATTTCTAATAATCGCCAAAATCTAGTTAGTCCACTAATTATTATTTTACCAATTACTTCTATAAAAAAAGGAGATAAAATTTATTCTTTTGAAGTGGAAACTTTTCTTAGTAATCAGTCCGGCAAAATCTTAATCGACCAAATTACTACTACTGATAAAGTAAAAAGAGTGGGTAAATTTGTCGGTAAGTTAGATGAAAAAATGTTAGTCAGAATTGAACGAGCTATTTTTTATGTGTTGGCTATTTCGACCGAAGCATTGGCGGAAGAATTAGAGGCAAGGAAGAAGAAAATAATTGTTTAGTTTACGGTTAATACAAAGTAATAATTGTCTTATAAATAATATTTTACAAAGTAAAATATAAAAGAGTTTACAGAACCCTTATTATAAGTTTTGGTGTAAAATTGTATATTATTCCCAAAGATAATGGTTATAATTTGCTCCGCCGACTTAACTTTGTTAATTTCAGTCTCAGTCATTATCGTCCTTGGTTTTTAATTTAGCATGGTCTCGGTCTTGAATTTTATCTCACAATTTAATTTCCTTTTGGCGGTCTTTATCTTGGTTAGCCAAGCACATATCACGCCGATAAATTTCTTCCTCACTTAATTTTTCATC